ACATATCGTTTTCCTGAAATGTAAAGATATGAAATTCTCTAATTTAACACATGATTAATAAACATGGAGGGTTTGCTAGGCCCTAATCAGAACAATGATTTTTTTTTTAATCTAGCAATATGTGGCCCTCTACTTTTATGTCTCACTCCCCTCTCATTCATTTCTTAACCAAAATCTTGTTGTGTAACTTCATTTTTCAGCAGTTAAAATGAATGATAGATAATTTATTGTGAGGACTCTGAAAATTTCTAAATTCCATCATTAAACTATAATCAAAATGTTAGGGGTAAGAATGATGACACAAAAGCAGGGTTGACTATGCAGTTAAAGGATGTGGATAGGACTCTGATCTGTTTAAATTCCCCTTTGTTCTTTTGGACAAAGTACAAAAGTAGGGAAGAATCATTTAAAATAGATATCACTGGGACAAGTAAGTCTTATATTTATCAGCTAAAGAAAAAAAGTACATGTTTTAAGACATCAGTATGTGTAACGACTGCTTTGCCTTAAAGCATAAGGACGATTAGGGTCGTAACTCTGTAAGCACAGCGCTCTGTCACTGTCGGTGAGTGCTCCCTTTGTGACTTTTGATTTATGTCAGGCAAGTTTACCAACAATACTCAAAGTTTCTTACTATCCCCAATTGTATAAAAAAAAAACGTATATATCTGTAGTAAAATAGGACTAGTCATGTAATCAACAAAGATGTCAGATAAAATCAGTTTCCCATATTAGATGAGATAAGGAAGCCAAAATGACAAACTCCTATTTACTACAGCTGCCAAATTATAATGAATGAACTGGGTGAATAATTAAATGTTTGAAAGAAATGTTCCTGTCCTTTACGAACTAATAGTTAAACATATCTTGGAGACAGTATTTGGGATGTTGTCTTATTTTAATTTTTTTTGTTAGTGGGAATTGAATAGAATGACATTTAAAAAATAAGTGAAGAATAAGAGAATAGCAATCTCAATTCAATTTCTTCTTTATTCTGGAGAATAAAAAATAATTGATATCGCAGGAAAGAACAGGGAAAGAAGAAATGTCAGTATTGCAAATCAGAGGGAATGGAGCATCAGACAGATTTGGGAATGGTCTCCACCAATCACCATGAGCTGGACACAGGGATTGCTACACTGGGGTCTCGGCTGTACTAGAAGCAGCAAAAGATACTTGGTTTCTGGTGGGAGGAGCTGCTGAAAGTGTGACTGAGAACCCTGGAAATTAAGAGAGTTAAATGTTCAGAAACACTGAATAAGATGGAATAAATGAGATTTCAAACCACCATCTTTGCTGCTTTTTAGGGAGTTTGTGGAATAGAGCATAGGCTTACCTGTTGGTTTCTAAGCCCAGAGGCAGAAACAATAAAGTACAAAACTATTACATTTCAGTTCAAAAAGCATAACGTAGTCGAAACATGAGAAAAATCAGGCAAACTCAAGATAGGGATATTCTTCAGCACAACTCACATTTACACGTTAGAAATGGTGACATCATGAACAAAGGAAGGCTGAGGAACTATTAAAAATTAAAGGAGTCTAGAGAGAAAAGACAGTTAAGTGCAATATACGATGCTGGATTGGATTCTAAATTAGAGAAAAAAAGGAATTTTTAATATATAAAACATCATTGGTCAACAGGCAAAATCTGAATAAAAGCTATGCATTGTATCAGTGTTAAACGCATTCAGTTTGATAGATGTACTGTGGTTATGCAGGAGAATGTCCTGGTACTCAGGAGATGCAGGCTGAAGTTTTAGATGAAGAGAATCGTCATGTCTGCAATTTACTGTCAAATGGTTAAGAGAGTACTAGAAATAGCCAGAGGAGAAAAGGTGAACAAATGGTGAATCTAGGTGAAGGGTATAGACATTCATTCTATAATTCTTACAACTTTTCTGTAGGTTTGAAATTATTTCAAAATAGTGAGTTAAAAACAAAAGGTGTGACGAATATTTGTGTTACGGCTCCGACAGTGGCTATCCAAGTGGATTTTGAGCCAGTGTCATGTGTAAAATAGAAAAAATCTGACCCTTCTATCTCATAGGTAATTATTAAGATCAGTGAGACAATGGGATTCACAGAGCACTATTTCCTTTTTGTAAAATTTGGACAAATGTTTTATAAGAAAGAAAAGTGAGTTTTTTCAACCCAGCTACATTTATACCACGAGTGAAATTTAGTTAGGTTTTAGATAATTAAAACTTTAGCTTTTGTTTATAATAGTCATACCTCAATTAAAGAATGCCCTGAGAATAAAGCTTTTCTCTGTAATAATAATAGATAATTTTAAACTAAAATTAAACAGTACTAAAACAAGCAAAGAAACATCTACAGTCATAATCACAGTCATAGTCATGTGACATAATCATAGTCACAGTCATAATCATGTGACTCTGGGTATTTATTGCTTGCAGATTTATGGTCTTAGTGTTACATCCTGGAGAACACTTCCATTTCTTGCACTTCAATTACAAGTGAACAGAGCTCAACATAGTCAGTATTCTAAAATCTGGGGAAGTTAGATTTGATGTAAAGACCACCTTTTACATCACCACTCAGCACTAGTTGTTCTGCTATGTACTGGAAGTACAATGACCAATTCTTTACTGTTTCTTCTAGCTCCATGCCATTTCACATACCCAAAGTCCTCCTGTTCTTTTGATTTTATACTTCCATTAAAATGGCAAAATTTTGGTGAATCATGTATTTGTACATTTTTTTCATATTTTGGCTTAAGTTTATTCAGATGGGGAGAGTACCTCAACCGGTTTTATTATGACCTGGAATAAATATGAGAATCACTTGAATCATTCCTGCAATATTGGTCAGTATCACTGAAAATCTTCTTGCACAAATTATTTCCATTTTCCTGACCTCCTTCATTATCATCTGGTTCACTCTTCCTCCATAACTAAACTTTTCAAAGAGCAGTACCCAAAATTACTAGTGTTTTAACAAATACCAAATTCAACGACATCTCGATCTGTATTCCTTTTTAAAAAATTTTTGGGAAGTGATTGACCCAGCCAGCCAGTCCAATTCTCTGTCATGGAACTTTTCACCCTTAGGCCTCGATAAGAGTCTGTGTTATCTCTTTGACCATAACCTCAGATCTTATTTGGTCATCTTTCTTCAACAACATGCCTCCAAGTTTCTTGGCTTGGCACTCCTCTTTTTTTTCCTTTTAGGATCACGTGTAATTAAGTCATCTCAATGTGACTTGAGAGAAGTTCCCATCTCCAGGCTCATGTTTCCTCTTCTGCACTCTGTAGATAGTGCAACCACCTACTTCATATGACTAACTATACATAGTCTGTACATAACATGCTATACACAGTGGGCCAGAGCCTCTAACTCTCTGTCCCAAAGCCAAGCTACCTGCACACCAGCATCTATTCAGTTCTGTGAAATGGACCAGTCAGAAAAGGAAATTATGAAAGGACAGGCATTTTGGTATGAGGTGAGGAAGAGAGTTTCTTATAATAGGAATTGTGGGCAGTGTTCTACGGTAAGGAAGAGGGAAACTAGGTAATCGTAACAGTAACTTGAGATAACTATGAACAAACTGATTAACAAGTGAAGAAGGAGGAGATGAAAGATGGAAGCAGGAAGAGATAGTGATAGAGATGAGAGAGAGAGAGAGAGAATGAGCTAGTGCAGGAGTAGAGGTCAGAGCATTTAGCATGACAATAAAACATAGCACCATATGCCCTTTTATTTGTTCTTCACTGGAATAGAAAGCTCTTCACCTGAATGACATGTCATTTGAAAATAATTTTTTAACTTATTGTGATAAATTGATCTTTCAAGAACACTTGGGGAAATATATACTCATAATAAAATCTGGCTCACACTGTCACAAACCAGTACGCATTAATGTTGAAACAAATTAGTCAAAACCTCCCACAGCAGAAAGAGCTAAAGTTTAAGTACTCTTTAGCTTAAAAGATACCCCATACTGTTAGATGATGCAACAATGTTGAGAAAAGTCACTGAAAACTAATTCACCAAGTTTGTAAAATCAAATATTCTATACTCTAGGTAATCTTAATATTGCTCAGTCACTGGAAATCAGATTATTCTTGAGATTGTATTTAAGTCAAGGCAAGATGGTCTTCCATTTACAAATGTAATTGACTCTCATGAGTAGGTGATCTTGTTATAATATTGTCAGGTTAATTGAAATTGATTTGTGTTTACTAAACATTGTGAATACTAATCAAATATTAGACACTGAAGCGTTGGAGGTATATAAACCTTTGACAGACGCTGTTTGTGCTTCCTAGAAGGATTTATTGTCTCAGAAGTCAACACTGCTTTTCAGCCTTTTCTTCAAAAATTATATAAAGACAAAATGAAAAGAAACGGCCTGCATTTGCTTTATGATATTTTATAAACTGGGAATATTTGGGAGGATTTGGCATTGGTTTGGGGGGAATTATTTATATTTTATTTCCACTGTTACAAATAGCACATTTGCTTTTCCATCTGCTTAATTCCATTCCAGGTTTGCTATTCTCTACCACTCATAGCTTCACTGAGCTCCACATAATAGCTTTTATAGGAGACAGGCATTACCAGGCAATTTGAAAAGTCAGGTTGAAGATAAAGCCTGATAGCTCACATACCCTGGCCTGGTGACTTTGTTCATTTCTGAAGCTTATTCCAAATGGGCCGTACACATCTCCTGCGGTATATGTGTATTGGCTCTATGAAGCTTAAAGAAACATTTCCCCTAATACAAAAATAAACCCATCATAATCATTCATTTTGGGGAAATTTTACAGTTGTTAGTTAACCTGCTCCCTCATGCCCTGCAATATTCATTAGCAGATTTCTCTGTTTATGAGTGATATTATATGGAAATGGTTATGGGAAGCTAACAGATGTAACCACTGAAATAGATTAGAAGGAAAAGTTCTGTTTTTTACAGATGGTTCTATTGAATATGCTTCCCCCCTCCTTCCACTTTAACATTTAGTTTTCTTTCAACAGAAAACTTTTCTTTACTGACTATGGGAATGTGGCCAAAGTGGAGCGATGTGACATGGATGGGATGAACAGAACAAGGATAATTGATTCCAAGACAGAGCAGCCAGCTGCACTGGCACTAGACCTAGTCAACAAATTGGTTTACTGGGTAGATCTTTACTTGGACTATGTGGAAGTAGTGGACTATCAAGGAAGAAACAGACATACTATCATCCAAGGCAGACAAGTAAGTAGAATTTGGTTCGGAAATGCAGCTAAGGTAATAAAATGGATGGTATCACACTAGGAAGAAGATTGAAAATTGCAATGTTGAAAATTTCTTATGAAGTCAAGCTGCAATGGGTCATAAAAACTGCGATGTGTTTGCTATATGGGAGAATGTTCTTTACACAGTGTACTGTGTACTCCATAGTATGGGGCAGGGGAGGGGGCTCTCTCCCCCTCTTTCCCTCTATTAAAAAAAGAAAAAAGCACACAAAACGGAAACCAACTGAAATAAATCAAAAAACAACAAACGAAACCCAAAATGCTACACTAGTAAGAAAGAAAAGTATTAGAGTAGGACAGTAAATATGACCTACTTACTAAAAACTAATTTAAGTAGTTCATTTGTAGGAAACTGAACTATCATCTGTCCCATGTGGCATTGGAGATATATATTTTTTCTGCTAACAATGCATATGCTGGCTCACAAAAGTATCATTATTATTTTAATAGGTTGGATTAAATTTTGCCTTCTGTTGTATTCAGGTACTTCCTAAAATAAGAATTTTGTGAAAAGCACTGAGGTCAAAATTTTTCCCATCTGTATAGTTATCCCCTTGCTGAATTACAAGTTTTTGCAAATAACACTCAATAAACACCTGAAGGAGATCTCTAAGTGGAAATAAACCTTATTCACTAGTTTCCTTTTTAAATTCAATTTTACCTCACTGATCTCACTAATTTTTTGTGAGATTCTCATTCTGTGGAGCTGAAATAAGTGACTCTGTTTTCTTTTGCAGTGCAAGGCACGAATATTCTGTAATTGTCCTGTAAAGTTACTTTGCCTTTATAATCAGCTGTTAAGAATGAAATGTTTTCACTTCCTTGGCAGATAAAAAAAGTGCACTAATCTGGGTGGTTAAAAAAAAATGTCCAATATTAGAGGTGAGGTCACTTATTTCTCTCACCTTTGACTGTCCTTAAAACTTTGATTTCCTTGGCAGTCTAGTTATGACCTCAGAGGACCTAGTCTCTAAAATGATTATGATGGACCTTCTTTTTACGTATATGTATTTAAAATTTTAAACCTTGAAACAAGAATGAGGAATTCAAATGATCTTCCCCATGACTACTTTTAAAAGCTTTTTAATATCTGAAGTTTTTAATTATTCCTTTTTTTAACCATTTCTATTGCCTGTGTTTTGCTGGTTCCCTACACATATGCTTACTCTGCCACTACGTAATCCAACAAAGATAAAATTTTGTATTTGTCCTGTAGGCAGAATGGTCTATGCACCACACCAAGCTCCTGCCACCTTTGTTGGGGGTAGTTAGCAGACCAGGCAACAATGTAGGTACTTTATGGTAAACAAACTCTTCTGAAGGAAAGCAGAGAGGCAGTGAGTAAAATTTGATGGCTACTGTGTGAACGTGTTTCTCTGCCCTCACCAGTTGCCCCCTCTGTAGCCATGCTTCCTTTCTCTCCTGAGGCTTGGATTGGCAATTACATAGACAGCAATGTGTTTAGGCCACAATCGCACACTTCCAGATGACCGGCCCCAAACTTTAAGCAAAGCATGCATCAAATAAATGGCAATTAATGGAAGACTTCAGCTTTCTTGTAATTCTTACAGGAAAAAAAAGTATTGCCCAGATCAAAATTGGGTCATAGATATATTTAGTGAATATGATGTCAGTTATGTGGAAAATATTATTAGTAAATACACACATGCCTCCCCCTACAAACACTTACTGGAGAGTAATGCTAACATTGAGAATGATATCTTTAACATAGAATGATTCTCCCCCTTAATTCCTAACTTTCATTTGTAGCCTAGACATGAAGAAAGGAAATACGTCCAAAAACAGCATGAAAAGCCAGTCTTCTTTTACTCAACATCTATGAGAGGATCAGGAATAGTAATAAAGAGACATGTAAGCTAGAAAGATAGCAAATCAAATGCTTTTGCTTAAGGTATAGAACTGGCATGATTTCCTAAGTAGAAATTTTTGTGATTTTGTTCTATATAAAATTTTTTTTACAGTCAAACCATGCGTAACTTCTCAAATTCTCTTGACTACAAATCTATACGAAAAGTACACTAGAAGTACAATATAATGCCAAACGATAATGACAAATGCTTTTTCATCAAAATCTGTACGGCAAATCAATGGACAAATCTACCATACCTCGGTCCAGAACCATTTTAAATTGAGTATACTACAAGGCATGCCCAAAGGCAATGTGCCTAGCATGTGCCTTTTTGTATGAGAAAATCAGTATACTTATTCCTCCTTTGCTTTACTGGAAGCTTTCCATCAGTTCAAGAAGTCTATTCTTACCCACAGTCCCCAAGACCTGTGCCAAGGAGGAGAGTTACACTGTTAACTGTGAAGTGTCGTGGAGAGCAGTAAACATTGTTATTCTCAACTCAGAGTTCCATTTTCATTATGAATAGGCTTTAGAAAGAGTGCAATTTCTGAGTAGAATGCTGACATTTTCTTTACAATTATTCCAAATATGTGATTTTGTTGTTTACTATTTTCCATGCTGGGGCTATTAGTCTAAATGTAACCTGTATTTTAAAAAAATGGGATTTTCAAAGGTGTTTTCTCATCAGTCCTTTCACAGGTAAAGCAAGCCTTTTACAGATTCTACATATCCATGGCTATATGAAAATGTAGCCCACAAAAATATATCAAATTTTACATAACAGTGCCATAAGCATGTTATTGAATATGCTTGAAAGTTTGGTTCTCACTAGGCTTTGAAAAGTAGCTACTGAACATGTTTTCTTAATGAAACATGAATAAAATTCTCTCCCATACATTGGGTAGTGCTTTAACCACTACTGCATAATGTTTTATTCTCAGAGAAAAAGTTTAAATTTGTGAAATGTCAAATTCTATGAGAGAAGATAAATGATAATATGGTTGTGACTCTCCAACTATGGGAATTTTCCAGAGGAGTAAATAGCAATCATTTTTTCTTTCAAGTTGAAAGCAACATAATTAAAACTCACAGTCATTTTTGCCCCTTTTTATAGGTCAAACATCTTTTTGGTATAACTGTGTTTGAAGACTATTTGTATGCAACCAATTCTGATAACTTCAATATCATACGGATAAACCGATTTAATGGCACTGATATTCATTCATTAATTAAAATGGAAAATGCTCGAGGAATCCGAATCTATCAAAAAAGAACTCAACCAATAGGTAAGATGCAAGACTTCTTCATAGCCTTCACAATGGCAAACTGAATGGGGATATGGTCCTTGTGCCTTTGTTTGGTGTTAAAGTGGGTGAGCCATAAATTCTCTGTTTTGATAGCAAAAATGTACATGTCTGCATGATAAAATGGAAAGAGCTCCCTTCCCAAGTCTAAATGACAAATTGTTCAGTTGCTATTGAATTGTTTCTACAACCATAGAATTAAAATGACGGCTAGATTTAGATTCAGGAAGGAACTTGCACTCGATGTATGCATACAGGAAACCCAGATGCTAAGACTTTAGGGAATTTTTTTATGCATTCTGGGAAACATTTCAAATTAGGTGATTTCCTTGCAGTATCTGTCTAGTTTTTATTGCAATCACTGGGGTCTCTTGACTGAACATCCCAATCATTCCTTAACACATGTTAAATAAAAAATAATTTTTAACGAGAAGGCTACAACATTTCTAAGTATTCCTCAAAAACACTAACTACTTTGCATTGTAGGTTAGTGATGCTTGTTCATCAATACAGTTTAGGCTCAATCATATATAGAATAATGTAACATACAAAAACTACCACCCGAATGTCCATCATCTTTTTGTGCTTCAAATTAAAACGAATTTAGAATTATCTAACCATTAACATAAATTCAGCTTAGGCAATGTATTACCACATATACATATTGTGTTTACAGGAAATTCAAATTTTGAATTCTGTAGGTAACCTTATTAGGGTTTTATATTAGGATTTATTAATTCACCAATTATTCATTGACCATTTACTATGTGCCAGGAACTATTCTATGTCCGTTGAGAAAATAGTTGTGATAAAACAGACCAAAACATCATTGCCTCTGTGAGATTTGCATTGTTGTAAAGAAGACATAATTTTAAAAAACCAAGTAAATTATCATTCTATTAGCAGATGGTAAGTGCTATGGAAAAAGGTAAAGCAGATGAGTGTCAGGAATGGGGGTAGTTTGCAATTTTATGTTGGATGGTCAGAGGAAGTCCCATTGAGAAGATGAAATTGCATGAAGACTTTAAGTAATTAAAGGAGGAGAGAGGCAGGTAGAAAGATGAGCACACACAAAAACCATGAGGAAGAGCATGCTTGGATTGTTTAGGGAGCAACAAGGAGACCCATAGGTCTGGAGCAGAGTGAAAAGAGGAAGAGAAGTAGGCAATTAAGCTGGAGAAATGAAGGAGGACCATAACAAGTAGGGCCCTGCATACAGTTGTAAAAACCTTTGCTTATACTTTTAGTGAGATGGGGAGTCCTTAGGAAGCCTTAAGCAGAAGAGTCTCATAATCTGACTGACTTTTTAAAGGAATCAATATGGCTGCTATATTGACAATAGGCTGTCAGGGACAAGGGTGGAAAGTTAGAGATGATGGTGGATTGGACCAAGATGGTAGTAGTGAAGGTGGTGAAAAGTGGCTAGTTAGACTCAGAAATTCTATTTGAAGGTAGAGCCAACAGCATTTCTGAATGGATTTGATGTGGGGTGTAAATTTAAAAAGAGGCAAGAATGATGACAATTAGGCTGAGCAACTGGAATAATTGAGTTATTTTTGAGATTAAGAAAACTCAGTTTGGAGCAGACTGGGGGCAAAGAGAAAATGTATAATTTTTACATGTTATTTTGAATTTCTGTCATAAATTCAGGTGGAGATTTCAAGGAGGTATTTGAGTATATAAGTCTGAAGTTCAGGGGCAAGTCCAAGCTGAACAAAACAATTTGAGAGTCATTGGCATATAGGTGACATTTAAAGCCAGGAAAATGGTTGTGGTCACCAAGGAAGTAACTATAGATGGAGAAGAAAAAAGTTCCAAATAAAGCACACTGGGACACTCCAACAATGAGAAGTCAAAGACAATAGGAAGAACCAAAAGAGGAGACTGAGAAGAAGCTTGTTAAATTCAATTGGCCATTGGATTTAGCAGCATGAAACTCATAGGGATCTGACAAGAGCAGGTTGCAGTGAAGAGAATGTCTGGATAGAAAGGATCTGGGAAAGATAGGAAGGAAAGAAATGTAGAAAATGAGCGAGGATAACTTTGAAAAGTGTTGATATTAGGTGGAGCAGAGAAATGGGGAGCTAATTGAAGGATTGCTGTGGGAATTAAGGTTAAAATTAGGATTTTTTACCCCCCCCCCCAAGATGTGGAAATAATGGCACATTTGTATGCTGATGGGCATGATCCAATGCAGAGAGCAAAAGTAATGAAGACAGGACAGTGAGAAACTGGAGAGTTGCTAAGTAGGTAAGAGGAGATGTGATCTAGTATAGAAATGGGATGAGACTGGAAAATAAAAGCAACACTCTTGTGCAAAAAACTAAACTACATTTCAGTTATCTTTTCATTTAGAGAATGCAGAATACAAAAAGAACATAGCACAATTTTCGAAAGCATGTAAGTTTTAATATTAAAAGAAAATTGTCATATTACTCATGACAATTCCAAGAAAGTCGTGATTGAAAAGAAATATAATTACAGTAATACATAAAATCTTACTGGTATTATTCCTACTACAGCATTTTCTCTTTGACCTTTCTTCTTCTCATCCTCTCCATACAGTACGTTTCCTATTTTTGTTTCTTCTCCACTGTCTACACTCATACAACAGCCTTCTATTCCATAACCTCCACATGAAGACTCAGCCTTCTCCTTTTGACAATTATAGTCACACACACAAATACACACACACACACACAAAATTCATTTTGTGGAAGGGTTCTCCAAATGGCAATGGACTCAAAATTGAAGAAAAAAATTTATCTCAGTACTTCTCAATAAAGGTAATCACTGAAGCACCTATCTATTATATGGGCACCTAAATTTATCCTAATTTAGGTGCCCATATAATAGATTATTTCAGAAGAAATCCTTTCTCTGCCTAACTACCTAACCTAGGATATTTTAACAGTATTTTTTTTATATTTGCCAGAAAAGTGTATTTTTTAAAGTACAATAAGCATGTACCAAAAAACCATGTTACTTTTATTTTGCTTACATGTAAACAGTTTAGGTTAATATAAAAGCATTTTATCTTCTCAGAATTTTTTTAAAAAATAGACTTAGGAGGATTTTGGCAAATCCCTACCTTTTCTTTTTTGGGTTTTAAACTCTTTTCCAATTGATTATGATACAAAATATTTGGGTATATAGATTTTTGCTAGGATTTCCTCTTGCACTGTCAAAGTTTCAACATACTGATGCACATAATTATCTTGTCTTTGGAGAATTTCAAGCATGCTCTTTTTCATTTGTTGTAGTCAGAAGCCATGCATGTGAAGTGGATCCATACGGAATGCCAGGGGGATGTTCACACATCTGTCTGCTCAGCAGCAGTTACAAAGCACGGACCTGTCGCTGCAGGACTGGCTTCAACTTGGGAAGTGATGGCAGGTCATGCAAAAGTATGTTATTGAAAATCAAACATTTGCCAGCAGCTAATGCTTCAGAATAGGGTTCTTAGTATTAATTAGGATCATCAACATCAGTAATAACGTGAGACATCATCAGGCCAAATTTGCCTGTGAACGTGTACAAGCCATTTTTCTCAAAATCAGTATTTAGTTTTTTCTCTTTTGTATGTGTGTGATAATGTTAATGAGAAACCTAATTGGGCTGTAGAGTCACTAAATTTATGGATCTTTGGAAACCGTACTTCAGGGAAGATTTTTAGGAAGATCCTTTCCTTAATTCCCTAAAGAATGTTCATGATCTAATGAGCCTGAATCGTCGGTTAACCAGATTTTCTCTTTTTTGAACCAAGATGCTGCCTCTAGTAATAGGTGTGTTTAGTCCAACAAAAATCCACATTAAGTAATATTTCACTTTATCCAGCATTGGGGATGAAATTCATTTCATTATTTCACTTTCCAAGTAACTGGAGCTATACTAATTAAATATCAATCTCTTTAACAATTTTTTTAAAAAGTTATCTAGTAGTTGGACATATCTTTATTTATTTTTGAAATATGCTAGAATAACTTAATTATTCTTTATTTGAATAAGCTAATAAATATTTTTCACACATTACTCTTGTTAAGTTTAAATTTTTACACAAAAATTAATTAAGTTCTTTACTCAGGGTCCACATAATCAGATGTAGTTTTAATGGCCCTCATAGAAATGGTGTCCATGTGGAGACTGTTGGTTTTTAGATGTCCCACAAATACCATAATTTTTAAGATTATGATGACTGCTTTTTTTTTTTTTTTTTTTAGGTACGCGGGCCTCTCCCTGCTGTGGCCTCTCCCGTTGCGGAGCACAGGCTCCGGACGCGCAGGCTCAGCGGCCATGGCTCACGGGCCCAGCCGCTCCGTGGCATGTGGGATCTTCCCGGACCGGGGCACGAACCCGTGTCCCCTGCATTGGCAGGCGGACTCTCAACCACTGCGCCACCAGGGAAGCCCCTGATGACTGCTTTTTACAGTGTATATTTTGTCTTGATTTATTTTTGTCTGTGCTCCCTCTCTGACCACTGCCCTGCCATCTCTTTTGCTTTCTTATCGTATGCTTGCTGAGGACTATGAAATGAGATCTCTAAATTTGTTATAATTTTAAGTCTAAGTGGTTAGAATTCATAGTGCAAATATTTTTAAATTGAGAACCCAAGAGACTTAACTGTGATAAAATACATGCCTTTTAGTACTTTTTTTTATGTCCAGCTTTGTATCAAATGCTAGGAATGTAGAGACACCAGCTCTCATGTTCAAGAAATCCTCTGGATAATTGAAGGTTTTGTGTCAGAAGCCTCAAGATAGGGGTAGTTTTGTGTGCGTGTGTGTGTGTGTGTGTGTGTGTGTGTACCCAGCCTTTAAACTGCTCTGGTTACCACTTGGGAAGTGATGGCATGTCATGCAAAAATACAGTCATGAACATTTATGCATACATATATACATGTGTGTGTATATATGTATATGTACATTTATATATGTATACACATACACACACACACATATATATAACACATATACACACACACATATATACACACACACATTTGGTGGAGAAACATAAGATCAGAGTTGCATAAGCTTCAATCATGTCTAATGTAGTGATCAATCAGGGTACATTTACATTTAAATTAACAGAAACAATTCTAGCTATTTTAAGCAGAAAGGATCAAACACAAATAGGTACTTACAAAATCATTGAGAAGCCTGAAGCAGCAGCTTCTAGACTGGGTCTTGGGAACTTTCCTCAAAACCACCACAAACTAGCCTGGCTTAAGCTGGAACACTTACGGTAATCAGAAGTTAGGGCATCGGGAAGCCACAAATGGCAAACATGGTGTTTCAGAAACACACCATCTTAGCTGAGATCTAGGGATTAGGAAGTTTGCACCAAAACTATTAGCTCCAGAAATAATATGTCATACTGGAAAATAAAACAACAAAAAAAAAACACAGCACAACAAAAAGATACCCTCTTCCTTGTCTCTTGATATAGAGAAAGGAAGAAGACTGATGTGGAAAAATTCAGTTTCTCCATCAGATAAATACCAGCAGAAGCAACAAAAGTGGTCTCATTTCTATATTCCAAACTCAAGCTAGTACATCTGACTTTAGGTACTTAAATCAAAACTAGAGCCATGGCTATATCGGTGTCTGTGAAATGTAGTTTTTAGTTTTCAGTTGTCTATGGTATAGGAAAACACATTAGAAGAAACTTCAGGTAGTGAATGATTGAAAAAAGTGACTGAATAAAACAATGGGAAAAATAGTTACCATTCTTATTTAAAATATACATACACATGCACACGTGCACATACACATATACACACATACATTAAACCAATGAAGTATTGTGCCAGGTTTACCAATTAAAGCATCAATTAAAAATACAAGCAAAAATAAATGTTAGCAAGAAGAGATATGGTGAAACCAGCATTCTTACGCCTTGCTAATAGAACTGGAAATTGATACCACTTTTAGAAAGACATTAGATAATAACATACAAAAGAGATAAAACTGATAACATCCTTTAACAAGTTATCCCACTTTTGACTAAAGAAATCCATTGTAAATGTATGTATAATAACAAAAACCCAGAAGCAATCTAAATATCCTACAGTATATAAGTAGCTGACCATATTATGTTGCCTCTCTAGCAGGGAACATGATGCTGCCATTGAAAAGAATGCTTTGAAGACCTTTTAATGACACAACAAAGTATTGTTAAATTTTTAAAGTTAAGTAGTAAAATGCATATATAAGATCCCAATTTTTTAAAAAACAAAAGTATCTATGCATATGATGTTGGTAGGGAATACTCAGGAATGTTAATTTTCAAATGAATCTACTTTTAAATAATGTAAGATAGGGGATTCCATGGTGGCGCAGTGGTTGAGAGTCCGCCTGCCGATGCAGGGGACACGGGTTCGTGCCCCGGTCTGGGAAGATCCCACATGCCGCGGAGCGGCTAGGCAAGTGAGCCATGGCCGCTGAGCCTGCGCGACCAGAGCCTGTGCTCCGCAACGGGAGAGGCCACAGCAGTGAGAGGCCTGCGTACCGCAAAATAAATAAATAAATAATAATAATGTAAGGTAGTATCTTTAAAGAAATAACAAGTAGGTAGACACTGAGAGATTGTGAGGGTAATGAGAAAGAGGGATGTTAATATTCTTTACCCAGTAATTCCACTTCTGGAAATGTATACTAAGAGATATGGGAAAAAGCATATCTCAGTGTTATAATAATGGAAAGATAAAATCAACTGAGGAATGATTTGGCAAATATCATATATTGATCATACTGAAGGAATGTAAGACAAAAATAATGGATCAGGGACTTCCCTGGTGGCATAGTGGTTAAGAATCTGCCTGCCAACGCAGGGGACACGGGTTTGAGCCCTGGTTTGGGAAGATCCCACATGCGATGGAGCAACTAAGCCCATGTGCCACAACTGTGGAGTCTGCGCTCTACAGCCCGCGAGCCACAACTACTGAGCCCACGTGCCACAACTACTGAAGCCTGCATGCCTAGAGCCTGTGCTCTGAAACAAGAGAAGCCACCACAGTGAGAAGCCCGCCCACCACAACGAAGAGTAGCCCCTGCTCACAGCATCTAGAGAAAGCCCATGCACAGCAACGAAGACCCAACACAGCCAAAAAAAAAAGAAAGAAAGAAAGAAAAGGATCAGCACAGAATATAATCTTAATGCTAAGGTTTAGTAATAAAAGAAGAATACAAAACATATTCTCTTCTATATTAGTGCGCATTAGAAAAATAGCTAGATAAATTAAATTTGAAATAGTCACACCAAGGAATATAATACAGCAATAAAAATGAATGATACTGCAACAACCATAGATGAATATAAAGTATGTAATAAGAATAAAATTAATAGCACACATGCAATTCAAACACGCAAAATTAAACAGTCTACTGTTGGGAAATACAAACAACATATGTGGCAAAACTTCTAAAAAATGCATGGTAAACATAATAACCATATTATTGTATATAACCAGAGATACTGGATGTCTCTGGGATGGAAGGGGGGTGGGTTTGGGGCATGTGTGTGCATTCTAATGTTCTGGAAATATTCTTAAGATCTATGCTAGGTACATGAGATTTGTTTTATTTTTTATTCTTTAAATATTAACATTTTGTAAATATATATATTTAATATTCATTAACACTAATTTTAAAAGAAAACAAGGAAGAAAATATATAAAATGATTATATAGTTTGCATGGAGGGTGTTGAGCTTATGAGTAATTACTTATTTTTTTTCCTCCAAATTTTATAATGTAATTATTTTAATTTACTAAGAATCTCACTATGGTATGGTTATCCAAATATAATAGTCATATATATTCTCAGTTTTCTTAATAAAACCTAATATGTTTTCCTTTCCATATGAAGTATTCCTTTCAAAATTATGTACACTAAACTAAGTATAATGTGAGAGCCTTGCATGTAGTTTCATATAAAAGTCTGAAGGAGTTCATTCATTCTGTAGAAAAAGCTTCCTTGATTCTTGCATTTTAACCCAGGACACAGTTTTTTGTTTTGTTTAGTTTTTGATAAAGGCTGTGTTGTACATAAGAGTTACTGGCAGACAGCATCAGCCTCTAACGTTCTAATTAAGATATGAAGAAAGAAGTGACACTGTAACTGGCATTTTATTTCATTTCTTAAAAAAAAAAAATCACGTTTATACAAACTATAATATATTCACATGCAAGTTATGTCATACTGTGTGATTCTTTTTGTTTGCTTCTGACAGTCTGTAGATGCAAACTCTGAGTAGGGAGGGGGTGTGTTTTAAATATTCTGAAGTTTTTAGCACTGTCAAACATAATGAATGCTACAGTTAGTATCTACAGATACGTTAGATAGATTGTAATGAATTGTAAAATTAAATGTGCCAGATGTTTTAATAAATTTCCATTTTACAGTTATAAGTTATCCAAGGATCTGTCTTGTTTTTGCTATACAGTTACAGGCAAAAGAATAATTAACTAAATATAACCTATTCACAGAAGTAATTTCTGTTTTAACTGAAGTAATGCAATTAGCTGGCCTTCTTGCATCGAGATGCATTTGGCATATTTTAGGGTTTAATTTTTGGTACTGAATTTAAAAAAATGTTAATTGTGCCAGTTAATTAAACAGTGGCATTATGCAGAGTAAAGAAGATTAGGCAGCATCGGTTGTTTATGTTTGTAATCTTTCTTTTGCAGGACCAAAGAATGAGTTGTTCCTCTTTTATGGGAAAGGACGCCCAGGAATTGTTAGAGGAATGGACTTGAATACCAAGATAGCTGATGAATACATGATCCCCATAGAAAATCTGGTAAACCCTCGTGCTTTAGATTTTCATGCAGAAACCAATTATATCTACTTTGCTGACACCACCAGTTTCCTAATTGGCCGGCAGAAGATAGATGGCACAGAGCGAGAAACCATCCTGAAAGATGGTAAGTGACAATGTGTATCAAACTGCCCAGAGACAAAACATTTATTTAAAAGGATAAATCCAATGTACGTCAAACTAACTTTAACCAGAGCCCAAGTTACTGTTGATTTTAAAATATTTGTTAATTTTTATTTCTTGAGTAACATTATTTCAACATGTTTTCCAAATACTGACTTATTAAAACCTTCATTATAAAATTGAACTTGCGATTGTCCACTACATTATAAGTATTACAGGAATTAAATTGAGCTATTAATCCACCTTCATGGAAAATGTGGACTTACAGTTATTTGTTTACAGTGTTATATGGTAGAACATAAGATTTAACAGGACATTGGAGACTTTCGTAATACTTGGTTCTCACTGGAATATTGGTCGTGTCACTTAAAGTTCATTAAAAAGATCAATGTTCCCACTGTCCTCACGATTCTTGCATATTGTTTTTGACGTTATATTACAATTGAGTTCTTTAGAGTCACCCTTGAAATAATATCTGCAGAGAAACTTTGTTTATACCTATTTTTATTTACAAATACTTATGTTATTATATATAATATGTAAACATATATGCATATACTTTATTAAGATCAGTGAGTTTCATAAATTACTTGGCTTAGAACAACAGATCAATAATGAAATAATATAACTTCGGTATAAGTAAAAAGCATCTTTAATAATCACGCAAACAATCTTCGACTGGCTGCTAGTCACTTTTAGGCGAGTTACTAATGATTCTGGACCTCAGTTTCCTCGTATATACAGTTTGCTTCTCAAATATTTAAAAAATCCTTGATTTAGGGACATTAATTGTATGCTTATTATATGAAGGACACTGTGCTAGCTATCATAGGAGATTAAAAAAAATGCTAGGAAATGGCTACTGCCTTCAAGGAGTTTATAATCTACCTTTGGAGATAATATAAACTCCCCCAAAATATTGGGTTGGCTAAAAAGTTCATTTGGTTAGTGAATACGTTGTTCAATAAAGGTCTTGGTGAAAATGAAAGATGTGTGTTTTATTTTTACTTAAAACCAAATGAACTTTTTGGCCAACTCAATATAAAGGCTCTGCAGCATTTAATTTAATAAGTTCAAAGCTGGCCCAGAGAAATACATGATTAATGGAGAATGTCTGTGTAATAAGAATACACAGGAAGGCAGAGGTGTCTTTATCTGGGGATTCTCAGAGAACTGTTTTGTGAAGGAGGTAGTATTTGGGCTAGATCTTGAGGAAAGAATGTTAAAGGGGAGGGGAGTATATTTCAGCACCAGGAATCCCATGAGAAAAAAACAAAACACCAAAAAGCACATGCTCCAGAAAGAGGATGAGAGGAACATTAAGTGGGTCACTACTGCAGGTTTAGTTTACAGGTAATCATGACAGAGGAGCTGTGGATCCCGAAAGGTAGTGAAATTCAAGGCCTTAAATGTGAGGTGAAGGGGCTTGGGTAAAATCCTGAAGGGGTAAGAGGAAATGCTTTTGAGCCAAAGAATAATGTGAATAAAAAGATATTTTAGGGGCTTCCGTGGTGGCGCAGTGGTTGAGAGTCCGCTTGCCGATGCGGGGGACACGGGTTCGTGCCCCAGTCCGGGAAGATCCCACATGCCACGGAGCGGCTGGGCCCATGAGCCATGGCTGCTGAGCCTGTGCCTCCGGAGCCTGTAATCCGCAACGGGAGAGGCTACAGCAGTGAGAGGCCCGCGTACCGCAACAAAACAAAAAAGATATTTTAGGAGAATCAATATGGTGGTGGAGTACAGAGTGAATCAGACGGAGGAAGTAGAGAAAATAAAAGTAGAGAAACAGACTAAAATTATTTACAGCATGAGTAGTAATGCATGATGGTCTCTCCTGTCTTTTAGAGGGATTGGGGACAGCATGAGAAGATTATTCATTCAACTCAGGTTCACTTTAAATCAAACTTTAATGATAAAAATACACCTTCCACAAGCGACAAATGAAGTGCTAAAATGAAAAATATCCCTGTTTTTGTCTTTTTTTATAGTTTACTGATTAAGGCAATATAAATCCACCATGACTTAGCCACCTAAGGAGTGTCTAATTAGAGTCAAGAGTTTTACTTTAAATTGCATGAGGCAGAGGCTGTCTGCCTACTTTTCTCTGTAATCCAATAACGAATAAGAGGAACTTGACAATTTTAGAAGGACAATAAACTTGCATATTTTAAGTAGATGCATTTGGATTGCTCTAATTTTGACCTAGACTGACATGTGATATACAGGATCCTTGGGCTCTTTTCAAAAAGTGTCAGTTCCTGTGCTGTGACTGAATGTTCCAGCTAATAATCCTAACTTTGATAACCATATCTAGTCAGTGACATTGGAGTTCTTTGCATTTTACCACAGCAACAGAGGTCAGTTCTAATGGCCACTTGACTGCCAGGCACATCTGTACCGTGTTGCTTTGGCAGTAGGAAGGTTCTGAAAACCTGTCGATTTTTACACCTGAAATATATTTAACATTTTGATTAGCCTATACAAGGGACAGCTTAATGTCTTATTAGTTTATCTTGCTTCTTACCAATAAGGAGAATAATAATACACATTATACTGTGAGATTAGCATGTCAAAACAGAACTTATATTTGGCAAATGAGAATTCGTGATTCTTGGGATCAGAAGAATTAAGTTCTATGTATATTCACTCATTTAACTAGTCTACCAACTAACCTGAAGACTGAGAGGTAATGCTTGGTTTGACAAATGATTTTGTAAGCTTAGTAGAAATTCTGAATCTTAGATAAATGTGTATAGTTTGAAGTAGAAGGCTTAACGATTTTGCTGTTTTTACATAAAACATAAATATCTTGAACGTATTCTTTACAAGCTCAGATACTTTTTATATAGAAAAAAACAGCATTAAAAAAAAAAGACCCGGGCTTCCCTGGTGGCGCAGTGGTTGAGAGTCCGCCTGCCGATGCAGAGGACACGGGTTCGTGCCCCGGTCCGGGAGGGTCCCACGTGCCGCGGAGCGGCTGGGCCCATGAGCCATGGCCGCTGAGCCTGCGTGTCCGGAGCCTGTGCTCCGCAACGGGAGAGGCCACAACAGTGAGAGGCCCGTGTATCAAAAAAAAAAAAAAAAAAAAAAAAAAGACCCATCTCTGTTCATTCTTTTTGTTTTCTCTCTTAGAGTTTTATTGCAAACTTCCTAAATGTGATATATCTCATAATCTTTGTGTAATATTGTGGGCTAAAATGGTACATAAATAAATAAGAAAGGAAAATTGCCCATTTGAAGTACTTACATATATCTCAGTAATTATGGAAAATATCTATGAAATGAAGACATATTAGTGATTTAATAAAAATAGACTTTTATAAGGACAAAACATTTACCAGTCTTTATTGTATTTTACTCTTCAGAATTTTTTGACAAAATTTCTGGTAAAATTTATACTCTTGACTTCTTTTAATTAATTACTTGATTTATTTATTTGTCCAGTCAATAAATATTCATTGAATGCCTTCCCTGAGCCAGGTGCTATTTTAGGTGATGGGAATGCTGCAGTAAATAGGACAAAGCTTCATATTTAGTTTACATCCAAATAGTGAAAAATAGATAATAAACAAATAAACACATAAATGAACAAGATCGTGGTAAGTGCTCTAAAGAAATAAACGAAGATGCCAACAGCAAGCGAAAATAGACTAAGTGGTTAGTCATTCTGTTACCAAATTAGGTCTTATGATCCCCTACTTGAACCCTAGCCTGGCCAAGCCCCTGCCTCAGGGGGAAGGAAGGTTCTTTTCTGTTTGGGTTTGCAGAGCCAAAAATGAAACCAAAGTTGAGATTGAAGCAGCACAATCATTATTCAATGGCCGGAGAATGGAGAAGTGGGATCTTAATCACAAATCAACTTCTTGCCCAGGGGACTGACAATTAAGGCAAGATTTTAAGGGCGAAGGCTAATGAGGGGGAAGTGTATGCATTGGTCTTCTGGGAATAGGCGGGTTCTTCCTGGAACTGGGGTGTCACCTCTTTTCTGTCCTTGTATGGTCCTCTGGCATCTGGGTTGGAAGCAGGTTGAAGCATCATGGGCAGACAGACAGGGGTCTTACTATTACAATGAGATGGTAATGAGGTGCAGGGCGATATTTGTCCCACTTTTGAAGTTGAACCAGCTTGCACCAGTTTTCTTATAGGGAGACTCTTGTTCCTGTGCTGTGAACACAGCTAGAGGATATGGTTAGCTGTGGTTTTCTGCCAATTTACCTGGAGGGAGGGACAGGAGTATGATTCTGGGGCAATAGCCTTGGTAACAATTCTTGCAGATATAATTGTTATGCTCTCTAAGAGGACAAGATAGATGTTCTTTATAAGATTGTATTCATGTTTAGATTCTTGAATGTCTTGTCCAAGATTCATTTTTCATGGCAGAATGAATTATAATTTCCAGCAGAAAGGAAAAAATACAAAAATGAAAACTTAGTATTCAATTTATTATTGCATATATTCTATTAGTGCAGTACTTGGTTTTAAGCTGTATAAATTAATTATACTGAGATACATATATCCAAATAGAAGGTATGTTAAAATATCTTTCACATTATTTCATATCTTTAAAGTATTAAGAAAAAAACACTCAAAGCATTTTTCCTGAGTTTGAAAGTTATTAATGCCTGCAGCTGTAACAGAAAAACTGTAGTTTCAATAGATCTCATCATTAAACTGCAGACTTGAGGTCACCAAATTTGTGGTAATTTGTAACAGTAGCCAGAGGAACTAATGCAAAGCATGTGCTCTGAACCGCTTTGCTATATTGACCTTATGTATTTCTTTTTTCTTTTTTTAATTAATTATTTATTTTTGGCTGCATTGGGTCTTCATTGCTGCCTGTGGGCTTTTCTCTAGTTACAGCAAGTGGGGACTACTCTGCATTGCGGTGTGCAGGCTTCTCATTGTGGTGGCTTCACTTGTTGCAGTGCATGGGCTTCAGTAGTTGTGGCACACAGGCTCAGTAGTTGTGGCTCACGGGCTCTG